TTTCAAAAATATATATGTATATATATATATATATATATATATATATATATATATATATATATATATATATATATATATATATATATATATATATATATATATATATATATGTATATATATATATATATATATATATTTATATATATATATATATATATATATATATATATATATATATATATATATATATATATATATATATGTGTGTGTGTGTGTGTGTGTGTGTGTGTGTGTGTGTGTGTGTGTGTGTGTGTGTGTGTGTGTGTGTGTGTGTGTGTGTGTGTGTGTGTGTGTGTGTGGCAAAGACATCCCAAACAAAGGAAATATTTTTTTAATGGTGAAAATCTAATAAATAGAACAAAGAAAAAAAGAAAGAAAAATTGTTTCCATTTTAGAATAGAAGATTTAAAAAAAACTAATAAAGTGAAAACAATGAAAATTTTTTAAGAATATAAATTGAAGAAAAATATTAAATAAACAGAACAACTAAAAGCAAAGTAATAACAAAGGTGATAATCTCTTTTTTATCACCTTTGTTACTGGCTTTTTAGGTGAGGAGACCAGGCTTGGATGGCATACTCGAGATAAGGTCTAATGTATATTGTGTAGAGTACCCTCCATAACATCAGCTCTCTTGTGCGAAAAGATTTTTTTAGTTTGCCAAGTATTTAGTTTGCTCTAGCTGCTGCAGCTTCTACTTGATGCTTAACTTTAAGGTCGTTTGATGTTAGAACACCTAAATCATGTTCAATAATTGTTGTTCCAAGTTCTCTTTGATTACCATATATGTCAAGCATTGAGTAAAGACGTACTGATTTGTTTGAGTGACCAACATACATGACTTTACATTTGTCTATATTGAAATACATGAGCCACTTTTTAGACCGTTTGACTGGATGATCTATGTCTTGTTGTAGTTTTATTGCATCATCTTCTGCTTTGATTACCTCTAAAATCTTACAATCATCGGCGTAGACCTTTATATGATGCACCATGTTGTCTGGAAGGTCGTTTATATAAATCAGAAACAAAAGTGGACCTACACTGAACCTTGTGGAAAACCACTAGCAACATCAACCCATTCAGACTTGCTATTGCTGATGACCACTCTCTGTTTTCGATTTTGATGATTATGAAATAGTGCTTTTGTTAAAATGTCCTGTGCCTCTAGTAGGTTGGTTGTACAGACGCGTCTTGGAAGAAATCCATGTTGAGATTTTGTAAAGAGCCCTTTTTCAAGGCAATGTAAAATCAAATTTACATAAATTATGTAAAACTTTATCCATAACATGGGTTCCTATCAAGTGAACTTGATATTAAACATAAATTGCACATTCTAACACCTAGTGTAATATTGTCCTCTGTCTCTATGCCAACCTTCTAACTGGACTTCTTCTAACTTTCTCTCTAACATCCTTCATACTTCTAAAAATCACTTACCTTTGGTCTGCAAAGGGGTTATGATACTATTTAATGAGCTGAACTTGTTTTTATGGGCCTAGGTATGCAACCTTTATATAAGGTAGTTTTATGGAGGAGGATAAACCACATGGAGGATAAACGCATGGAAAGAAGGTATATATTAAATAAAATAGTATGTTAGATGTATTTTTATATTTACTTTTTTGAAGTGCAGTCTAAAAAAAATCTATATTTAAATTATTTAAAATTGTAGTTTTTGACAAAGTTGTCTACAGAATCGAAATTTTTATGTTAAAAATTGTTAAATTATTATTTAATTACTTATTATATTTAGATACATTGATTAATTTTGATTGTGACTTTTAAAATGAAATACTACTATTGAAATTTTTTCTTAGGTTCATGCCTTAGTTTCAGTTTCAACCCAACCTTGAATTTTAAATGTACCTGCATCTAAATCTTCCATTGCTATGCTAGACGATTAGATAGATATTTTAAAAGTTTCCTTGCTTGAATACTCCTCTTTTCCCTTGCTTGAATGCTCCTCTTTTGCCATGAAAAACATGTAAGTACAATGATAAGGGTCATTTTTGATGATATACTTTCATACTTGTTTATATAAAATCTATAAAAATCCATAGCTTTTTCATATTACCTGCAATGTATTCTTTATCTACTTCTGACCTATACTTTATCTACTTCTGACCTATACTTTTTTTTCTACATGCTCACTCTACATACAACTTTTCAACATTACTTTCTTTTCTTTTTTTTTTAACTGTAAATAATGATTTATTATTCTGACCTAATTATTATTATTTAGATGTATTGCAAAAATGAATCGTGAAAAATTAAATTAAATTGAAAGGAAAATCTGGTAAAAAAGCAGTCGGACCTGACCTTAAAGTTTTGAGTTTCGTAAACGAACTAGCGCTTGAGTGGACAGAGCATCAATAGATCAAAAGACGTTTTGTTTATGTTTATTATAACTATTATAACGTAATATATGTAACAACTTTTATAATATAGTATATTTTTTCATAATAAAATATTATTTGTTATCATATATATTATATAGTATATAAAATACAATATATATATAATAACCGCTATAATATAATATAATTTGTTTATAATTATTATAGCTATTATTACTTGATGTGTATCATATTACAATACAAGTAGTTTCTTAATAGTCGAATTACATTTTTATTACAACATATAAACTCTACTCATTTATTTTTGACTTTAGCATAAACTCTGATAAATGAGTTGAGTAAATGTCTATTTGCTGAGTTAACGGAGTTTTTCCGTTAACTTGCATGAAAAAATGAAATACGGAAACCGTAAATTTTACGGAAAAAAGTGCTGTAACTTTTTTAACGGACTTTTTCCGTTGATTTTTACGGAAAATAGAAACTACGGACACCGTTAATTTTAACGGAGAAAGTGCTGTCACTGCTGCCAGACAATCTCCGTAGATTCTACGGCGAATTTTTTAACAGTGTACTACTACTAACCGCTCACTTATCACAAGACCTTTAGTTCTTCTAGGGGCAACTAAATAAAATAAAAAAAGTAGTAGTAGAAGTAGTAGAAGGTGAGGGAGAGGAGGAGGAAACGAAACATAAGTCGAGTAGATAAGATAAATAATTCAAATTGTTAGGAAAGCGAATTTGAAAATTGACTATTTGAGTTGAAGATTGAAAAAAGGAAAAGTTGTAAGCCGTCACGCCTGCAGAACCACAAGAGCCAAGCCATTCTATATTATGAGTATTAAAGTCACTAATATTATTTATTGTGCAAATAAGAAAGAATCCATTTTTTTGTATTTTAATTTTGATAATTCTAAAATATAATCAATAATTAGAAGTTAGGAGTTCAGTTTTTGCTTATTTATTTGATTAATATTTTGTTTTTAGTTGTTCTTGCATAAATTTTATACTACTTTTACTGTTATTATTATAATAATAACTAATGATTGGAAAAATAAATAGAAAAAAAAATTGGAAGTTATATTATATAAAAGCTGACGAGAAACCTTTCATTGTAATCTTCTCATAATAAAAATGAAAAAAAAAAAAGGAAAGCTCCCATTGTATGTTAAAGGCAGTTTTTTTTAAGGTACCAGGTAAAAGAACTTCATGTTGTGAGGCTACCTTCTACACCTTTTCAAGATGTAATTGAGAAAACAAAAATTGTAATTAAGAATCGTAAGATGTAATTGAGAAAACAAAAGATGTAATTAAGAAACGTAAGATGTAATTGAGAAAACGTTAGTTGTAATTAAGAAACATAAGATGTAATTTAGAAAACGAAAATTGTAATTAAGAATCGTAACATGTAATTGAGAAAATGTAAGTTGTAATTAAGAAATAGAAAGATGTAATTGAGAACACGAAAATTTTAATTTAGATATCGCTTTAAAGGAGTAAGTGTAAAATGGCGCTTCAAAAAAATGGCGCGTAAAAAAATGGAGCGTATAAAAATGACGCACTTAAAAATGACGCAAGATTTGTTGCGTAAATTTAATTTTTTAGGGAAAAATTTAGGGAAAAGTTTATAATTTTTGAGCAAATGAATTTAACGTAATAAACACTAAAAACAATAAATATGCGGTATGTAATCCGAGGGCCATGGCGGGATTTGTCCGGGGAAGGATGACCACGCGCGAACCCAATTGTATGCTGTCTTATATTTGATACCTAGCGTTTGCGCGAGATTCACCCAATCTTCAAATCGCTCCGCACATTCAACAACTCTTCTCCTGTCATTTGGAGAAGATAAAACGTAACGTTTCCTTTCAACTTGTTCAGTTGTGTGTATTTCATGCCGACAAATCGGACAACTTGAATCTGGTTGTTCCAGAACTGGACGTAAACAAATTTGGTGACATAAATGTTGACACGGATTTAGCTTAATCACAGACTTTCGGGTCATAGTGTATTGGCATATAACACAACGATCTTTCAATTCCATTATTATTACTTGTGCATACAAAAGCAAAATTTAAGATTATAACTTAAATTCATGTCCAAAAAGACCTTTTGTAACAACCTACAAACTTAGACTGTGAATTTGCCATTTTAATTTAATTGTTCTCAATTACAAGTTACGATTTCTCAATTACATATTATGATTTCTCAATTATATCTTACGTTTTCTCAATTACATGTTGTGTTTCTTAATTACATGTTACGATTTCTTATTTACATGTTGTGTTTCTCAACTACATATAACGTTTTCTCAATTACATGTTGTGTTTCTTAATTACATATTACGACTTCTTAATTACAACTTTCATGTTCTCATTTACATCTTGAAAAGGTGTACTTAGATAGTGAAGTTAACTTTCACTTTTTGTTCAGGTAATATAATTTATTTGATTACTATAATTTATTTTATTACAGGTAATATAATTTATTTGTTCAAAAAACTTTTTGTTCAGGTAATATAATTTATTTGATTACTTGAACAAAGAATTATTGAACAAAATATTTTTAATATTAAGAATTAAAAATTATTACCAAACATAAAGTTTTAAAAAAAAATTGTTTTAACCATAAAATAATACTTACACTTTTTTGTCAGATCGTTTTTACAGCTGTATTTAAATCTGTTGACCATAAACTGTAAACCAATGATAGCATAAATTGCAATCATGAAACTAAAAAGATACAATACTTTCAAAAGTGGTACAACTGCTTTCATAATAGATGTCATGATGATGTGTACACCTAAAAATGTAAAAACTCTCATAAAAAGTTGTTTTTTAGAGTACTTTTAATAATAAAAATTATTAAATAAACTACTTGGAATAATTGTAATAAACTTGAGAGGACGCAATACTCGAACTGCACGAACTGCTCTTACATCGAGAGAATATTCTACGTTTGAATTTTTCATTTGATTTTGAAACAAAACAGTGAAACTAAAAGATATAAAAAGTACTTTCAAAAACTTAACATAAAAGTTTTACTAATAACATATTATTTAATATGTCTCTTTTCTGACACATTTATGTTTTTATATATTTATTTCTGATTAATAATAACTTTCAAAATATACATGTGAATAATTCTGATCAATTGTTTACAATTTAAAGTTATTTCAATAACGCAAGTTTAGTTTTTTAAACAAAAGGCTAAGCATTGTTTTTTGATGGGGAAAGAAATTTGGCTTGTTAAGTGTTACAAGATTTATTGCAGAAAACATTTTTTTTAATTTATAAAATAACTTTCAACGACCGTAAATAATATTAATTTAGATTAGAATTCAACATCTAAAAAAATATTAGAGAATATAATGTTAATAATCAAGGTCGTCCCGAACGGGGGGTGTAAAGGTGTTATTCCTCCCCCAAAGCTGTCATAGAAGCATTTGAGTTTGCACATTGAGCAAGTTTTGAACTATGGCAAAAAATATATGCAATACCCCCTCTTCCTCCTCTATGGAAGACCTCTTCGGGACGGCCCTGTTTATAATTTACGTTTTAAACCAAATTAAAAAAGTAACGCACCAAAATCAAAAAAAAAATATTAGTTGAATACTGAAGTTAGTTGAGAGCTGAAAATAGTTGAGAACTGAAGTTAGCTGAGAATTGAAGTTACTTGAGAACTGAAGTTAGATGAGAACTGAAGTTAGTTGAGGTCCTCAACTTGAGGACTAAAATTGGTACCAAACGGAAAAAAAAAACTAGAACAGTTTTTTTTTCTATATAATTTCAAAAAAAGAATTTCAACACAAGAATTTTTTTTATTTATTTATTTATTAAACCGTAGGGTAATTTAAGCACTTTAAGCGAAAATTGGAGTACTTTCAAAAGTAATAACCCGGATCCAAAATTTTTGCGAACAAATAATTTTTAAGGATAACTAGTCATGGTTCTTATACATATTTGGGCATCAGACTTTTTTTCTTAAAAAAGAAAAAAAGTCTGATGCCCAAACGAGAACTTGAGAACTTTAAATTAGCTCAAAAAAATAACAGTAATTAAGTAAAAAAAGACCAACCTGACAATTAGAACTAATTTGTAGAATATAATAATTCGTTACTAACAAAACTTATCATTAAATGATTAAATTTTAAGTCACTTTTTATTAAGACAATGTTATACGCATTTAAAAAATAATAATAATAAATAAGTCCGTTATTTTTTCAATTTTATTAAATCAATTCTTTTTAAACGATAAAATTACAAATTTTTTGAGTTCAAATTGTAGAAAGATATTTAGTATTGTTAAACTATTTGAAATTTATACTAAGTTTTGTTTTTATTCAAAAAACAATTAAAACCACTGCAGTTTTAGGACTTTAATGAAAGTAATTTCAATAAAGAAAAACACTGGGTAATTTGAGCATGCTCATATTACACAAAATTGGCACCTTTAAATAAAGTCAAAACTAAATGTTTTTATACATATTTTTTCAAACAAAAATAAAATGGATTTCTAGCTAACATAATTTTCTTTATAAAAAATTAAATTTCATAATTTAGCATGAAAATTTCGCGCCTCAGATATATTCATGCCTGATGATAATATTTAACAACGCAAAAAATTGAATAGCGTTTTAGTTAGATAAGAGCCGCGAATTACTGCGTATAAGTTTACGCTAATTATACTGATTTCTGTTATCACCACATAAAGTTGATTCAAAAAATACAAAGTAACTTTAACTTTACTGCTTACATCTAAGAAATCTTCTAGAATTTTCATGTTACTAAGGTGGTCGTATTACCCTAATCTACCGTATATATCGTCGGTATGCAAGGGTCCAAAAACATCATTTTGAGATAAGTTTTTGCGTAATAGTTAAAATAATAAGTTATTGTGTAACAGTTAAAATAAAATATCTTATTAACTCATTATTAATTGATTTATTAAATATGTGTGGTATACCAAACGATAGAAAATTTAAAATACTAAATAATGGTATAAATAACTCCATACTGCAAAAAATGGACTTAGTGCATTTTCCTTGTATACCGACGATAAAATATTTAAAAATACCAAATAATTCAAGAATGTAGGCTATTTTAAAGTTAGTTAAAAGTATAACTAAAATAATGAAAATATAAAATTCAAAAAATGATAAAAATTTAAAAATTAAAATTCTTTATTTTTTTTTTTTTTTTTTTTTTTTTTTGACGTTTGAAATAAAGTTAAAATTATTATTGAGTAATTTACTTAATTACTCTAATATTAGTAGTTAATAAAACAAAAGGTACATCATATCAAAGTTTGTTAAACAATGTTTTGAAAATTGAGAGACGGAATACGTTTGAATGTGAAAGACTGTCTATGTATGGTAATAATTTGTATGTTTTTATTAGTTGAACAGTTGTTTTGACTTTTTTAGTAATGTATCATTAAAATATGATTATATGCATAATTAAGACATGAATAAATGAGAAGCAATCGTATTTTAGGTATGATCTAATAATTTTTTTTTTAAAGTACAACAATGTTTTTAGAAATTTTATTTTCAATCATGTTTATGTGATGTTTCCAAGTTACGTTTTAATCGAGAACTATACCTAAGAACCTTACAAAACGTTCTCTTTTTACAATGCGATCACTGGTAAAATAGTTTTGGGTATGTTTGAAGAGCTTTAACTCTTTTATGAAGAAAGTATAATTAGTTTTGGTTAAATTAATAGACAGTTTATTTACATTTAAAATTCAGTTAGTTTTAGAAGTTCAATGTTGACCGTTTTAAATAACTTTTTTATATCACTATGGAAATAAATTTTTTTGTCAAATAAGGTGAATAAGATAGAATCAGAAATTCTTTCTGAGAAATACCAAAAATAACAGTTGATAAAAACTATAGTTAAACTAAATGAACTACGTTTCAAACTTCTTTTTCATTCACTGTACTCTTCAGATTTGGCATCCAGTAACTAATGATTTTTTAATGATCCAGTAACTAATGATTTTTTAATGATCCAGTAACTAATGATTTTTTGCAGTCCTTATAAAGGTGCTACAAAAAAATAATTATTGGAGAAGTGGTGAACAATACTGTAATGTATATGAAAAACACATTATAGCATCAAAAGTTGAAGGAGCTTTGAAATGTTTTGAAGGAGGGTATGTTAATCAAAAAAATAAAAGTAAAACTATAATTAGACCAGAAACTTGCTGAGCAAGTTGCTAAACTTTAAGCTGCAGGTTTAATAACTTAGCTTCTTTTTTTTAAAAATCACTTAACTTAAAAGAATACAAAAAAACAACATTTTTACCTTATAAGAACGACAAAAAAATCAATAACATTCCACAAACTTCTAAGATATGAATTTGGGTGTATAACAAAACCTTTTGCAATAATCTTAAGAAGAGCTTCTAAGCCAAATATGACAAGAAAAAAATATTCAGCTTTATCCTAGAATAATAAATACATACAATATTTACAATTACAAAATGCATACGATATTTACATATATATATATATATATATAAGATAGAAATCAATCATTACAATAAACACATATATAAAGTATTTTGTGTTGAATTTGAACTTTTACGGGCGCCCATGCACACCTACATAGTCTTTGGGTTTACTTAAACAACTTTAAACCCGAGGTCTCAAAAAGTTACTATTATTTTACAAGAAACGCTAGCAATATTATTTTTTAAAGCAATGCTCTATCATACTTTTACAAAAATTTGCTAAAAAAAGTAATTGTAATTTTTTACTTTATTTTATTTTTATTGGGTGATAACTAAAAATTGATTAAATCATATCGGCTATTATAAAAACAAAATGAAAATTATATTTATTTTAATTGAAGGTACATCACTTATCTTTAAGAAAAAATTAGTGAACATTTGAATAATAACTTTGTCATGCTGTTGGAACAAAAGCATTGTACAGTATTTATATCGATTTGACGAATGCATCTATTGATTTGGTTAATCAATTGCTTGCAATTCTACGCTCTCTAGTTGCTTTGTAAACTAACGAATTCAAATATCCAAAAAAATTTTTAACTGGGAAACACTGAGTCAAGTTGCTGGGTTGCAGTTTTTGATTGCAGTTTTTGATACATATGGAATTTTTAGATTTCCAAAAAGACTTGTGTTTTTTTGACATAACGCAATGATGCTTTATCCGGCCAAAACACATAACTGCCATCTAAATGATGTTTTTGAAGAAATGGAATCAAAATTTTTTTCAAACATTGATTTTAGTGTACTTCTTTATAAATTGCCAAACCAATTGGTTTGAACCATGGATTGAAAATTCCCCTCTCAGATATGGCAATGTGCAGCATCGCTTTCTGCTCAACCTTGTATTTATATTTGTATTTTACTTTTGGAGGTATTGCAGAAAATTTATCTGCATATTATTAATCATTTCCTAAAATTTGCGTTAGAGGAAGTAAATTTCGTCATCCAAAACAAAATATTTTCCACAGTTATTTCGTGTCATCCAGCGGCATTGAGATTTCTCGGTTAATATTTGTTACACAGTGTAATCTGGTACTCTTATTTCTTTCCGACAGACTATTCCTTGTTTTTTCAACGTATTGTAGATATAAGGCTGCGCACACTTGAACTTTTCGGCAGAATCTTGTTGACTTATTGAACCATTGTTGTTGAAAGGACTTTGAAGCAAACAAAGTCTCTTCTTGTTAATTAATTTAGCTGGTCTTCCACTACCACTTTTACGATTGGTTGTCGAGGATGCCAAAATGGTAAATAATTAAAACTAAAACAATTTCTGTTTTAAAATGGTTCACAGTTATCTTTTTTCTAAGGTTTTCGTGTACTTGATAGACATTTATAACGCGCTCGCGTAGTACGTCTTGTTTTGACGGCATTTCAAACACAACTGAAGTAGCTCTTTACAATTGAAATAACTAGCAATAAATCAAAAAACATACTAGTCTCCACATGTTACCGACCGCCTGAAGGTGATTTATTAAAATTTTCCAATCATTTAAAATAAATTTTTATAAAAAACAACAATGAGCAAAAAAAAAATATTCTGTATTGGTGATATAAACATAGATTGTTTACAATATGAAACTTTTTTTTGACGAAATGCTTCAATATTACATCTTCCCAATTATTAATAAACCAACCCGAGTAACTCCAACTTCAATCTCTGCAATAGACAATATATTAACTAATTCAATCTTTGATACTTCTCTAAAGGCAGGAATAATAAAGACAGACATTTCTGATCATTTTCCTGTTTTCTTCTCTTTGACACAAGATATAAAATCTATAAATAGTTGTAAAATAAAAATTTATAAAAGGAAAATCAACAAATTTGCTATTCAACAATTTAAAGACTCACTATCGGCAGAACAATGGGACAAGGTATACCAAGAATGCAACCTTGGGAACACAAACTCTGCTTATAATTACTTTGAAAAAATTTTCCTAAAAAACTATAATATGCATTTCCCAATTAAAGAAAAATTAATAAAAGAAAAATATTTAAAATGTCCTTGGATCACCAAAGGTATTAAAAAATCCTCCAAAAAAAAACAAAAACTTTATATCAAATACTTAAAAAATAGAAGTGAGGCAAACCTAAATGTTTACAAACAGTATAAAAACTTGTTTGAAAAAATTAAAAAAAAATTCGAAGAAAAACTTTTACTCAAATAAAATAAAAAAATCAAATGGTAATATTAAAAAAACTTGGGATATCATAAAAGAAATAATTGGGACTAAACACTGCAAATCAAATTGTTTACCTGCACAAATTGTCATAGATAATAATGAGTATAACGATTATAATGTAATTTCAGAAAAATTTAACAGTTTTTTTGTCAACATAGGCCCAAATCTAGCTTCAAAAATCCACTGTTCATACAACTCATTTGAAACTTACTTAACTAGTGTCAACAGCAAACAAATATTTAAAGAACTAAAAATTGATGAATTCGAAAATGCAATAAACTCTATTAAAATAAACAAGTCTCCAGGTGTAGATGACATTAGCAGTAATATTGTTGCTAATGTCTCTTCGCAGATACGCAAACCTATTTTTGAAATATTCAAATCATCAATTAAAACTGGAACTGTACCAGATAAATTAAAAGTAGCTAAAATTATACCTATTTTTAAAACCGGTGAAACATTTCAAATAAATAATTACAGACCAATTTCTAATCTTCCAATTTTTTCTAAAATACTTGAACGAATAATCTACAATAGACTATATGAATATCTAATTCAAAACAAATTCTTAGATAAAAAACAATTCGGTTTTCAATCACAACACTCGACAGAACATGCAATTTTAGATATAGTTAATAGCATAAGTGATTCTTTTAATAAAAAGCAATTTGTATTAGGAACTTTTATAAACCTATCCAAAGCATTTGACACAATTAATCATGATATCCTACTTAAAAAAATGGAAAAATACGGAATAAAAAATACTACCCTAGATTGGTTTAAAAGTTATTTATGCAACAGACAACAATGCGTTATTTCGAACGATAATAAGTATTCAAATTTACTAGAAATTAAATGCGGAGTTCCCCAAGGTTCCATTCTTGGCCCTCTTTTATTTTTAATTTATATTAACGATCTTCCACAATCCCTAAAAAAACTTGATGCTGTAATGTTTGCTGATGACACAAATTTGTTTTATTCATCAGCATCAATTGAAAATCTCTTTGAATCTGTGAACGATGACCTTGAGAATTTAAACACCTGGTTTAAAGTAAATAAATTATCTTTAAATACAGAAAAAACAAAATACATCTTGTTTCATTCCAACCATCAAAAAAATAATATACCAAGAATGCTACCATTACTAAAAATTGATAACATAAATATCGAAAGAACTAAAACCGTTAAATTTCTTGGGATAATTATTGACAAAACGATTTCTTGGAAAGCCCATATAAATACAAAAATATCAAAAAGTATCGGCATACTCCACAAAGTCAAACCTTTACTTTCCCAGAAAAATCTTAAAAGTCTCTACTTTTCTTATATACAAAGTTATTTAACATATGCTAATATTGCCTGGGGAAGTATAAATAAATCTAAACTAAATTCTCTATATGTACACCAGAAACACGCATCAAGATTGATTTATAATAAAAATAAATTCACTCATGCCGATCCTTTACTTAAAAACTTGAATGCGTTAAATGTCTATCAAATTAACATCTACCAAAATATTTTATTTATGCTCAAATATATGCTCGGGCTTGTCCCATCTCATTTTACTTATAACTTTTTTCAAACCTACGCCAACAGATACAGCACAAGAGAAGCAGGAAATTTCACCCTGCCTATTAAAAAAACAAAATTTTCAAGATTTTAAATTGCATACCGTGGCCCCTACTTATACAACAAAATAATATCTCAAAATATAGAACTTACTAAATTAGATAATCTTACTATCCTTAAAAAAAAATTAAAAGATCTCATAATTAACAAAACCAATTTTATCGATATATATTAAATGTAAAAGAAAATGAATATAATAAATGTAACAAGAACAATTTAAATTTAAAAAAAAAAAAAAATAAAATAAAATAATAATAATAATAATAAATATAGTAGCAACTATACATAGTAAAATATTACTGAAGAGTGGACCTCAAAGTTAATGTGTGTTTTGTGAAATTACTCTTTAAATTTTTTGTTCATTTTGCATTTTAAAGGTTCTCGATGAAAAGACTTCTCCTAGTCTTCTGCGAGTTTCCTTACAACAACATAGCATTATTATGATATATTAATATATTTTTTCAACGATAACCACAAGCAAGTCCCTAGTAGCCCTGTGGTGCCACGGACTTGCGTATATTTTTTAAATGCATGGGTTAATAGCCAGCACTTTATATTATAAACCACGATTTTTTACTTTTTATTTTTTTTTATATATATATTTTTTTTGTTTGTTTTTCTCTTAACATTTCTAACCCACTGTAATACGCCAAGCGTGAAACAGCATTGTTAACGCTCTTTAGATATTGTAAATATGTGTGGTGGACATTTATATAAACTGGAGTCATGTAAATATTTGTTCTTGAAATATATAATAATTGTTGTAAAAAAAAAAAAAAAAAAAAGCTGATGCAAAACAAAATATATAATAAATTTGTAATCGTAAGGCGTACCTTTTTTTTTAACTAGTGTGGTTCGATATGAGAGGGTTAGAATTATTTTTATTTTTTAGTTATCACCCGTTAATAACCCACTGACGGCACTTTCTCGAAAAGCACCTTAACTACTATGAGTAAGAATACATATTTTTGTGTTATATTATTTTGGTTAAAATTTGGTTTTCATATTGACTAAATAGGTTTTTATTTTGTATGATGGCTTTAATGTAATTATTAGGCCGGGTGAATAAAAACGAGCAATTGCTTTTACTCAGTAATTGGTCAGCTTTACGTGAAT